ACTTACAGCAGAGGAGGGGCTGTAGGAGATGCTAGGGTAGGAGACTCTAGCATTGCAGACCCATCTCTGCTGTCCCAGACCAACCATAGTGATGCAAATCCATGTGAGGAGTGGCTGCTATTTGCCTATTCCTTATCTGCTGTGAAGGTGTTCTCATGGCACAGGACCAAAACCATCTGGGCCAAAAGCATCTGGGCTGTGGAGAGGCCACAAAGAGAGGAAAGCTCTCACTCCTACACCCCCATCACTGTCGTTGGTGTTATTAATGACCTGCAAATAGAGAATTCAAAAGTGCAGACATAAGAGATCTCTGGGGTGTCCACAGCTCTTGCACAAGCAGAGTTAAAAAGCCCAGAACATCTTTCTTGGGGCAGCTTCAGAGGTTTCTTTCTTAAAAAAAAAAAAAATCTATGTCAGCTTCTCAGCTGTACTTGCATATGTGGTACATATGGAGGGGGAAAAAAAGAAATGTCTGGCGCCAAATGGGGCCTGCTGCAGTTTTTAACAGTCCTCTCCACTTACTATTAAAATGCAGCTTTGCCCAGTGAAAATGCTGCTTTATTGCTGCAAAAATACTTACCAAAGGCACAGCCCTTGGAGCACAGCCCTCATGTCAGCAGGGAAATACACCACAAAGCAGACGGCTTTGTGCTGTCCCTGGTGTCCCAGAGGCACTGAGCCTCACTTTGCAGCCTGGGAACACAGTGGCAATGGATGTGCTTAGGCTGTTTTAGGAGAAAGTTATGGGATGCAAGGTGTGCATGCTGAGGTTTTCCTGATCTAAGTGCCTGGAGAATGCTTAAATCTTGGGGCTGGATGATCCTCACCATGGCCTGTATGCTGCATGAATTACATTTTAAAAGCAATCTGGGAGAACGATGTGATTATGATCATTGCTTGACCTTCCCTGCTGCCCAGGAAGGGTGCCGGTGTCACTTTTGGTGCTCGGGTGGGCACTGCAGTAGGGAGCTGCTCTGCATCCCCCACGTCCCACCCGGTGGGGTGTCCCCATTTACAAAGGTGCCATCTGCTCTCCCTCCCTCTCTGCTGCCTGGAGGTCTCACCCCTCTTCAACACTAGCAGTGGGAGTAGGAAGCGGCTGGCAGCTCCTTTGAAGCCTCCTGCCCCATCTGCCTGCCAGCTGCCCTCCCACCAAGCAGTGGTGGTGAGAGGCACAGCAGGGCGATGCTGCAGCCCAGCTCCAGCGGCACTGAGATGGGGTTTGCCGAGTGGCCGCTTGGGCCTTCATCCCTGCTCCCACTGTGACTGGTAGAGAGCCAAATCTTGTGTCAACTACAGCAAATGGCAGATGGGTGGGATGCTTCAACTATTGCACAGAGGATGTCTGGCTTGGAGGAGCACCAGGGCAGTGCTGGTCACAACCTGCGTTGTGTTAGAGAGGTGTCCAGCAGCAGGGAGCAAGGTGGGACTGGTGGTGAGCAGTGGGGTTACTCCCATCAGCCATATGCATCTCACCTCCCTGACGGCATCCTCAGTGCATTCCCTCCTGAAACACAACAGGAGGCTGTGAGGTGCCTCATTATCAAAGCTCAACCTTCTGGCTGCACTGCAGCTGTGACCAATACCCATTTTAAGGCATCCTTCATGGCCCTACGGAGTTTTCTTCACTGAACAGGATGCAAAGTAGATGGGAAATTGTGCACTATTTTTTCTTTTACCATTTGCTTGACTTCTGTGTTGTTTCAGCACGCGTATTTTTTGCATTCTCCACTTTAAATGTACACAGTGAAGCTTATGCCATAGTGCCATGATGTCGTTGTACTCATCTCATATAGCGAGCCTTTGGTGAAGAGATGAACTTTTTAATGGTCACAGTCAGCTAAGGTACTTTTTTCTGAAGTTGTTTCAAAAATGGAAAATGAAATTAGAAGTCAGATGTAACTGGGGAAGCACTAATTGCAAAGCACCAAGTAAAAATAGGGAAAGAAAATAACGAGTTTCAGGAAAACTTTTTATTTTCTCGCCAGCATTGCCAAGCTTTCAGAGCATTTTGCCCATGCTGGAGAGCAGGAAAGGATCCACTCCTTTTGGAACAGTCTCTGGGAAACTGTGAGAAATCATATATTTGGTCACCCAGGGCACACTGAGATTTCTGTGGCAACCGCAGGCAGAGGAAGAGGTGAAAAACAAGTTGGAATGGAAGGGAGTGACTGACTGCTCTCAGGGTATCAGAAAATAACACAGGTGTTAAAGTGCCCACCGGCGCCAACCCAAACAAAGGGTGGTCTGGTCTTAATTTTCCTTACAGTTCCAAGGGTGTCGTTTCTAGCTATCAGATGATTTCTTTCCATAAAATTTAGCTTAGGAATCGAGATGATGGTGAATTTTTCAGCTGAAAAATTAACAAGTCCAAGGATTTCTGGGCTCACACACTTGGCAAATGAGGTCGGTTTTAATGGCATTAGCACTGAGTGGACAAATGGGACTAATTTGCAGTATACTGGATTCCAGATATGTAAAAAAAAACTTGCTGGTGATAAAGATTTATGAATTCTGTGTTCATGCTGATGAAGTGCCTGGTTGTTGCTACTTATAATTTAATATTAGTTCCTCTTGCATATAACTGTTTTTTTTTTTTTTTTTTTCATTCCATTGCCTTTTTGGAGGCAGGAAAAGAAGGGGAAGAGAGCAAAGGGATTTAAAGAATGCCTGTGGGGTCAGGCTCTGCTTGTGCTAAAGAAATAACAAATTGTTTGAGGTCACAGACGTTGTTAAATCATGCTCAAGATGTCCAGTACTTCTGTCCTAGCTCATATCATCAAGCAGATGTTGGGTTGTTTATTAAAGGCTCAGATAAAGCTGAGCTCGCACAGGGGGACCACACCAGCCAACAAAGCTTGCCAGTCTCCAGCAATTCTCTGGGTAAGATTTGGCAAGTTCTTAGCTCCTCCAAACACAATTCCATCATCAGTCCATACCAGGCAATGGCAATGGCTGCCCATTGCTTCAAGCAGCATCTTGGGAGCCAAGTACCCTTCTGGGTCACTCTGCCTCCAGGAACCTCTTGCTATGTTGGAACAAGTTGTTTAGGAGGAATTTCTGTGGCTCTTGAAATATCCTGACCTTGAAGGAGGCCTTGTTCATGCACCAGTGACTCTGGGTTTCTTATCTGACTGCTTTTTTTTTTTTTTTTGGTAGTCACTTTTGGGATCCAGAACGAGGTAGCTGTTCCAAATTGACAACGTTTCTTTAGGCTTATCAAAATACACTGGGAGGAAAGGCAAGCAAGAAATGTCAGAGGAAAGATTGACTGGGCAAGTAGATTCTTTCGCTCGATGTAATATTCCCTTTGAAATGTAGGTTTGCAATTTCATCTTGTATCATAGATAGATAGCTTATGTGCCCCCTGAAGGCTACTTTACTCATGTAAATCTGTGTTTCATGCCCTGTGTTCAGTCTTCAACCATTTGTCCTCTTTTCCTCGCTTTTTCTTCACACACATTTTTACACATAAAGATTTTTGGCATAGTTTTCTTGAAATTTTACATAAAAATATTTAAGGACTATGCCAGTTGTTCAAACTCTAACCCCAAAGCCACAAATGTCCCTGTTCATTGCAGAGGAGTTGGCCTAAAGAGGTCCCTACCAACTCTAAGGATTCTTTGATTCTATGATTCCATGATTCCAATGTAGAACTACCCATTACCTCTAAGAGGAGGTGATTTCCCAGCTTTAAAGTCTGGATGATCCTTACATAGCATCTGGTGAAATAAAGTCCAGGAGAGAATAAGCTGGCAAAGCAGGCAGAGACAAGGGTGAAAACAGACATCCAGTGCCTTTTTCCATTCATCTGTAGGCACATTCCACCACCACACTTGCTTCATGACTCTGCCATCTGATGAGATAATTTGAGGGATTCATCCTGGTAGGCTTAGTTAAATATTTCGAGGCTACACGCTGGATCCATGGCTGCATTTATCCTGTACCTTCAGCATCAAATGTAAACACGCTGTTGACAAATTTCCCTGGTCTTTCAAAATCGAGCGCCAGCAGAAATTAGTTCACATGTTAGATGGGGTGTATCTCTACCTTTTCAAAACAGACTTAGGCCAGATTTTCAAAATAGTTGTTCTCATCACAGCGATATTTGTTGAAATAAGGAAATTCAAGAAACCTTGTAGTGCAAAATGATCTCCAACTCACCGTCCCAAGAGGAGCTAGGTGGAGAACACATTTTTACACTTTACTTAGTGGGAAAGATATGAAGTCAATTTAGAAAAGCATCTTCAAATCAGATTGTAAAGGTGTTCTATACCTGTGAAGGTGGAGGTGGGTGCTTAGTAAGACTGTCAGGCTCCAACAGGTGATGCATTTCCATTAAAATCAGTAGCAGCTGGCAATACAATGCTTCTGTAAAGTATGCTAAGCAGAAACTCCTTTCCCAAGCTGGCCCTTAAATGCTCAAGAATCTAAATCTCCCTGAAAATCCCATTCCTAAGAAGCTAAGTTGCTTTTCAAAATGGTATTTGGGAGCCTCAGTCATTTTCCAAAATGCCTTTTTGAAAAATGTTACAGTAGTAGATCCTCTTAGATACCGCATGTGGCCAAAAAGTGTTGGGGAGGGGTTTGACATCAAATTAAATTTGATTATAGATTCGTTGAGAATGTTCTAAGGCAGATCAAGTGCAAAGAATAATTTTGTTTAGCTTGAAGTATCTGGTAAACATAAAGAGAAAAAGGGCTGTGTGGTTGGACAAGTCTTATCTCAGTATCTTTATTTACATTTTCAAAGAACACTGACGCAATAGAGCTACCAAAAGAACTGCTTTCCATCAGCCTGAGAACAGAAACAAATTAGTGTTTAATAGTGTTGTGTGAAAACTACAGCAAATGTTATGTAAAACTGTGCAAACAGAATGTTTGTGTTCTGGTTCCAGGTCATTTAGTGGGCAAAAAAAAAGGAGACATTTTCTGTGAAATAGTCATGAAATGGCTTGCTGTTATATAAGGATAGGAACTGCTAGATCAGACTAATGGTGACATGCCCAGAACCAGATGCTTAAAAGGAAAATGCAAAACATCCTGGCGTGGATAATTACGAAATAGTCTGACCACGGGAGAAATTTCTGCATAAACGACTGTAGTCCTAAAACGTTAAATATTTATATTTCTTCCAAAAAGGCATCAGTGCAATTTCCCATGGACACAGGACTTATGCAACCAATGTGCTGCCTGGCCGTGCAGATCTCCGACTCCTTCCCTCTCTGTCCACCCTCCTGCCTCCAGCAATCCCTGAACACATCTAATCTCTGCCACCAGGAGCACAGGTCTCACAAACACCCTACGGCTTTCAGGAGCACGAGTTGCTCCTTGGTGAGGAGAGGCAGCTAGTTGTGCCAGCCCAGGGTGAGCTTACACCTCATTAGAAACCAGAGAAACCGCATGGGAGGTGATCTCACAAATGCTCCAGCTGTGGGAAAAGATTCAGCTGTGGCTTCTCCATCAACATGAGATGCAAATCCCAGGTAATCAGTCATTTCTGGCACTACCTCTTTTTCTTATGGATTAGAACTTTGGATATCCTTAAGATCTGATGTAAATGCTTAATACTTTGTGACCGAGCATATTCTTGGCTTTAATAGCATCCGGAAGCAGTGAGCACTAAGCTACAAGTTGAATAATGTGCAGATAGGACATTTCCTTTTGGTACCTGTAATCTACAGATCTCATTGCATCTTTTCCCATAAAGCAGCTGGGCTTAATTAGCGCATGATGCTCTTTATGGGCCAGCAGGCTAATTTGTAAATTAATTAAAAATAAGTTGAAGGCAGTCTCTCTCCCCTTGGGAACACTAGAATTAATTGTTTCAAGGTGTTGAAACCGTACCTTTTTGCCATGCTGGGCTACTTAATTGTTCTACGGAGTTAAAACCATCTTAGAATACACACACTGTCCTTCTCAGGCCAAGGTGGCCCATTCTTTTCATACTGAACTTCTACACTCAGGACGGATGTATTGAGTCTCTCCAGAGCTTGGCCATCTTCTCAAGGACCTGGACCACCAGTGAGCCGCCCTGTACCAATCCACTCCCCTTGAACTGCCAAACCCCACACCTTCCACCACTCCCTCATAACCTTCACAGCAGCCTGAGTTATGGAAAGCCACATTGAAGGAGATTCATGGTAGAGTCCTTGCCATAGTGGCTGCATGGGATGCTGTTTAGACATCGTAACAAAATTTGTGGTTGGAAATTCTAAGGTGGAAAGGTCAGTCTCCTAGAACAGGAGATATGTATGTGTTTCCCACAAAGTTCAGCTTCTGGTGCGACATTGCTAATGGGAAAATGTATTTGCAGATATTTTGGCAACTTCTCAAAGTTGTCTCATTTCAATTGCAAGTATCTCTCTTTACTTTTCATTAACACTCATGCAAGGAATGTATTGTTTCTAGAAGCAGCATTGGGAAGGCACTTGGACACACCCAGCTGTGGGTTGCTTGCTCCTAATATAAAGTAAGTAAAATAAAATTGGTGAAGGCCAAATGATTTATAAGTTGAATCAAACTGACAGGGACAGATAGGGCTGGCAAAAAATATGTCTTAGACAATATATTACAGACTTTACCTGCTTAACTGTAAACCTCAAATACGTAGGGAAACAGAGTGGTGGAGTCTGTTCGTGCAAGATATTATTTGAACTAATTCAGACATTTACGCTGTGTTCATTTCTCCCCTTAGAGACCTGAGCTTTATTTTCATTTAGGTTCCTGAAGAGGTGGCCATAATTTTCACTGAAGAAGAAGCAATAGAAGGACTCAGAAGATTGGTGGCCTGGAAGAAGAGAAGCAAGAAGACTCTGCATGTCCAGTGGACCGGAGACCCTATAAGTCTAAGGGACAGAGACATGGCAAGTCCAAAGGGACTGGCAGCCATTCTTACTGATTTCTTGCTGAAATGTGGCTCTGGAGAGTTTTGTGAAGCTGGAGAGCATTATGTGTTTTTGACTGGACCTCATACTCTAACATCTTGCTTCCCTGAGCTGCCGTATCAACACGTTATTTTCGATACCTTTCCCTTGCACTTTAGATATTTATTTTGTGTTCCAATCTCCTCCTCCATGTCTACAACACATCCTTAACCCTCATTTCCACACTCCCACATAATCTACTGGAAGGGTGATTTTTTTGGCATTTGCGAGTGGTGTTAACAAGGATCAGATGCTGCCATTGTTTATGAAAGAGCTAGGTTTCCTTTACCAGCTGTGGCATGCACCAGTAAAAAAAATCCAGCAGTGCGGACTTTACAGTGGAGTTCTTGTATTTAGCAGGTGAAAAGTCAATACTCTACCTGTAATGAGATTTGGTCATGGAAAACCCCTTGAAGTTGTTTTTAGCAAGGAGGCATTAGTCACCCTTGGACAGCTGCTGGCCACTCGACGCTTCTGGCTCGCACCGCGCCGCATGCAAGGGCTGTTTTGAAGGCTGCTCAGCGTTAACGGTGACTCTTGCTACGCCTCAGGTGTTGAGTTTAAGCACATGGTTCCTGGTTATTTTAGGAAAACATTAGCTCACGTTCCAAGCAGCCTTCCCTCCTGTGAGAACCTCACTGCAGCCCATTCCTGTGTATGGGGCTGAGGATGATATCTTTGGGGAACTAGTGTGCCTTGGATTGTCTTCCAGTTTTAGAGATATGAGATGGAGAGGTGATGAAATGGCGAGATGATGCAGCGCCATGATGGGGCTGTGCTGGGAGCACCTCCAAAAGTGTCACCAGAAGCCTGATGGCCACCCAAAGTATTTCGCTGCACCCAGTGCCCTTCTGGGTGATAACCTGCCCACACACAATGGGGAGCTGAGGATGTGTTTGGAAAATATGGAGAGGTTGGTCAGGAAACTCATGGAAATGCAAGTGCAAGGGCTGAGGAAAAGGTGTTTTCTGTGTCAGACATAGGTTAGGCGAAGAGGAGACAGCGGAGAGGTGAGATCATGGAGCAAGGTCTGAGGAGTGGAATCTATTAGAGCATCAAAAGTGCTGGATTAAGTCATACCATGTGAAGGCAGCTCCTAAAGAAAGGGAAAATACAGGTGATGAAGGAAGAAGTCAGTTTAATAGACCTGAAATCTGGCTTGCCTGCAGAAATGTGGGCTTGGAGCCTTCTTAGGAAATAAAAGAAGAAGCTGCTGCCCTGTGGATGCTTACCCATTTCCTTCACCCCATGGCTTCCCCCAGTCTCCAGCACTGGCTAAGCAGGAAGGAACTTCTGCTCAAGGAGAGTGCTGGATTTTCTGGCTAGTGGACAAGGGCAAGGAAGGCCCAGTGAGGGCAGTTCTTGCACTAAATATAGAGAGTGGGGATCCATGTTGATGCATGGCAGGAATTAGTGAAGAGGAGCCACAAAAAATGGTCAACAAGGGTCCTTTCTCTGGGACCAGCCAACCCTTTCCGTTCTCTGCAACTCAGGCAGAGTTTGCAGAGAAGAAAGTCTGATGATATCTTGAAACAATACATGCAGCTTTTGCTGATATCTTTATCATAGCGCAATCTAAGAGTGTACGTAACTTGGATCTGACAAGCAGATCTGAGAAAACTTTTTATGATAGAGAGTACATTTAAATGTAGCTCTGGAGACGACAAGGAGAATTTGAAATTCAATTTCTTCTATAGATATGACAAAAAAAAAAAAAAAAAAAGCAAATGTGAAAGTGTTAGAAAAGATACAGAATTTCATTTAGACATCTTGTGTTGATGTCTTCCTTTGATAACTTTCAGGGCCACAGTACCCTTCATTTAAGACACCTAGAAAAAGTAGGACATGAAAAGAGCAGAAACCAGGCAGAACAGAGTCTTGTTTGGTACGAGGCTTCTTGAGAGAGGAAAAGTGGCTGTTTCAGCTGTTGAATTATTCTTTCAGTTTTACTGCTCAGGTTCTCCTGAGTTGCTCCAATGGCACAATGGAGTCTTAAATCTTAAATCTAACGAAGGGATTCTCTTGGTGCAGGGAAACCCCTGTGCGGCCTCCAGCCAAGGAAGTTGTTTAAGTGAGGCTATGGTTGTATTTAGACCAGGAATGGTTCTCTGTACAGGGCGGAAGCATGTGGAAAGGCACAATGCAACTGAGAAGTTCCCTCCTCTGTTTCCATTTTGTGGCTTCTGCAATAATCTGTCAAAGGAACCTTATAAACCCTTAAGTAGTGGTTTTTTTAAAACATGGCTGTTATGGTAATGATTTAATGCTGCCTCCTTTGTTATGTGTTAATGGTGCCTTCCTCTTAAGTCTACTAATAAAAGAAACTTAAACCTCAATGTGAAAGTCCTTGTTAAATTACAAATCAAACACATTTGTGCTGTTTTACCTGATAGGCAAGACACTGGCATGCCTCTGTGTGGGATTTAGCATCAGGCCTTAACCAGGGAGCTGCACACCCACTGCTGTGCATTTGGGGTCACCTGTTCCACAGATGGGGCAGAGCTGTAAAGGAGTGTTTTACACAGTGAAAAGTCTCTTAAACTAGGTGAAAAGGGGAGGAAAGGGAAGGGATGGGGAAAGTTTAGGCAAATGAGGAATAGTAGAGATGAATCCGGATAGAATGATTCATCGTCTCTATCACACTTTGATGATCTCCTTAATAGAACTTTTGAATCAGACTATGGAATATATTCACAGAGAAGTTTTTTCCTTGTAAGTGAATTCTCCAGACTTATTCGTGGGTCTATGGAAAACTCTCAGTTACACTCTAATTCTATAGCTCTCCATAAATAAATTAGTAAAAGAGGGGTGTGAATAGTTTTCCAAAATTGGCCAGGGTTTCACAATACATGCTGCACAGGACAGCCCTGTACTCAAAGCACTAGACTGCTGCTATCTTCATAAGGAGGTGATGAGTGCATGAAGATAACTACAGAGTCTGAGCACTTCTGGAAAAATCAGTGCTTCGGATGACATCTTCAGAAGGCTCCCAGCTTTATTTCCTATGGTATTTATGAGCAGTTACTTATTAGGGAAGTAAACGTAAGAAAAATATAAAGGAGTGTCAAATGTGGACTGATTTCTGGAGAGAAGTGCAGTGAAAAGGACAGGAAGGCTGGATTTAGACAGACCTAGAAAAAATACAAAAATTAAGACAGTCACACCTTTCCTATTGCCAAAACACTGTACTTTATATATAGAGAGAATGAGGGTCCCTGTAACCTCACTGAGTCATGAAGAGGTGATGGCTTGGCTCACCTAATATTGTCTTTATGTGTGCAAAAGTGAGGACCATCCCTTGTGAACACTGTGGAGGTCAACTCCTATTTAGCCATCGAGTATGCTCAGAAACAATTAAGTCCAAAGATAACTTTTAAAAGAGTCTCCCACAGTCAGAGATCTCAGTGGACATCCTCTGAGCTTCTGAGGTCTGCCACATTTCCATGGGCTGCCCACTTAGGAGCAGATAAACTGAGGGTGGTTTCATCGTTCTTATTCATAGGTAGGAGCCCTGTTTTGATCTCTCTTCACTTACAGCATCTCTCAGCTGACCATCAAACCCTGCAGAAAGTTACCAGGTGGTATCTTCGTGCTGTTTTTCTGAATGGTGGGGACTGACTCTGCCATCCAATCTTTCTTTGAGCATCACGTGGATGTGGCACCCCTGGAGATCTGCTGTTTTATGCATTTTTGGAATACTGACGTACATATTCTTGAGGATTAGCCAGGCAAAGGCAGTAGGCCACTGTCTTGAGGGCAAAATCCAACCCACCAGTCCTCATGTGAGCCATGCTGGTGAAGTCTATGTGTAGCCCTGGGCCTATTTTTCTCATCAAAGCCTGTGTGGCAGATCCGCCCTTCCCACATAACTGTGGGTTTCTTGGGGTGGCAAAAGGAAGTAAGACATTTCCAGGCTGATAATGAAAAGTAAGAAAATGCTTTCTTTTTTTTTTTTTCATGGTGGGAGAAAGGCAGAAAAATTCATCTTAATGGACCTCAGATGGATCTTTGTTTTGATTGCCACGGGTGCCAAGACAGAGGCTGACTCCTGCAAATGCCCTTCTGGTTTCCACCACAGTGCGCACCATGGCTGATGGGTTTCCACCAGGAGGGTTGGTTTCTGCCAAGGCAGCATTTTCTTGTGGCAAATATTTTGGATTGGAACGCCACTGGCTAACTTCTGGTGTGAACATGAAGTGCTCTGACGGCAATTCTATGGTTACCTCATCCATTACAAAGCACAGGGGCCATGAAAGGGATGGGAGGGGGATAAAAGCGCAGCTCTCGCCTCTCTACAGCGATGCTGAATGTGGGCTGCCCTGTCTGCACCTCTGGCCACCCCAAAAGCTCGCCGTGGTGAAAGCTTTGGGGCCTCTTGCAAGCAGCATGGCTCTGGGTCTGAACAGCCAGGTCTCGTTCCCTGTGGGCATGCCAGCTGTATTATGACTTTCAGCTCTATTTTAATCCGATTGATGGAGTGGCCGGAGATGCTGATGGGATTAGAGCTCAGCATGATGACGAAGCAGTCAGGATTTGCCCTTGCACTGATCCCCGCAGTACACCAGTGGGGAATAGCTGCTCCTGATTTACGAGCTGTAGGAGCCCTGCTTTGACATGGAGCACTTCCTCCAGGACATGGGTCCAACCCAAACACATCTCACAGTCTGCAGGCTGAGCATGGTCTGACTTTCTTTTGATTGCTCCCAGTGTGTTGCGTGTGGTCTCAGGCACTGTGACATCACTGTGTTGGACCCAAAGGCACTACGGGCATTTGGTGGGCATTTGACCATGTTTCCTATGAGAAGACCACACTCTGAGCATATAGTTTCTCTACACTGATTAAAAAAAACCCACCAATGTAATTGCTCTTGTGACTGGTCGGCTCAGAGGGGATTATGGGTGTGAGTGTAAGTGTACCTCATCTGATATTCAATGACAGCAGCGGAGCAAGTGGATTTGCAACAGCTATGAATTATGCTCAAATAGACTTTTTTTTTTAACCTATGTGAAAAGAGGAAGCTTCTCATCACTTTGTTTACAGGAGCCTTCTCTAAATGCCCTCTCTAATGCTGCACTGTTAACAGGGTAAATTGCAAGCATGACTGCAAAAGTCATTGGAACTGTTGTCTCCAGGGTGGAGAGCTCTCCCTCTTGAGAGAGCCTGGGATTTTAAGCCCTGAAAGAGCAGCTTGACACCCTGTGACCTGCCTTGTAATGTTCCTAATCCACCTCTTTATAAATACAGGCTGCTGAGCAGAGGGGGAGTGCAGACGGGGGATCTCACAGCCTCGGGTGCTGCTTGCAGGAAGCGGATGAAGGTGCTCACAAGCTAAGTGGATTAAGTCTGAGTAATGTCAGTTCAAAAATAGGAGCTGCAGCCTGACATAAAGCTCTGGGGAAGTGAGGTTATTTGTTGATGAACCATGCCAAGCACCAGGAGGATGTGAGGGAGGGTCTGGACTCACCAACATTTCCTATGTGGGCAGTGGATGCAGTGTGGGAGTGCCCAGGGGATGCCTCTCTTTGGGATACAGCTCTTCCAGCCTATGTGGTTTCCATGTACTCCTGTGAGATGCAGCTGGCAGAGCAAAACCAAGCAGGCTTCTCCAGCAGCAGCTGGGTGCTCCCCGTCTGTTCCTCGCTCTGCCCTCATTTAAACCCCACCAAACATCTGCGTTGGTTGGGAATTGGTCAGTGTGTATGCCTGTCCATATGGGGCACGGAGCCCTCCTGCAGAGCAAGGCTGGATTTAAAAATAAGATTTAGAAGTACCATTTTTTTTTTTTTTTTTAAAGGTAATAATAACTAATAATAATAATGAAGTCTCTAGTAGAATGAGAGAAAAATAGGGTGTAGAATTCTAAGTTAATAAATAAGACTTAGGAAGCCTTTCTTCCTCAGCCTCCAGAGACATTTCCTCATTACTTGATGCTCTCCAGCACAGGGGCTGATTTTACCCTGTGTTCTGTGTGTTGGAATAGCATCCCCATGGCTTTGCTAATCACAAGAATACCCAAGCCAATGGCAGTTCCTACTCCTCCATTAGATCTGACACTTTCAGACTGCTCCTTTTCCCCTTTGCCTCTATTGTTTTCTTCATATACATCGTTGTTAAACCTTTCTTGAAACATGTAGTTGTCCTTGTAACCTGAATTGTATGTTGATTTCATGTTTGTTGACATGTTTGTAGAGCAGCTGAATGAGCTTTTGAACAAATATTAAATAAATGGTCACTTTTTAATGCAATTTTAATGGTGTCAATCATTTTAAATTTTAAGCTACTAAGAAAGAAGGGTGCACAAATTGAAACACGATGTGCAGGGCAGTGATTCTTTCTAACTCTTAATGCTGCCACGATAATAAGCATATCTTGCTTTCCATATTTTTATTTCTAAATTTGTAAAGGAAGCCCTCATAATTTTCACGTATGGGATCTATGGCACCTACAACCTCACATCTGTCCCTCAGCCCCAAGAAAGCCCCTTTGCTTTTTCTTTTTTGTCATAATGCAGCAGGAGTTAACAGCTTAAGGGATGGAAAGAGGTCTGAAAGTCTCCAGGAAGATAATGCTTGGGAAGACAGGTTTAAACTAAATAAGAAAGCAGATTTCATCAGCCTTCTTGGAAACAAACTGACCAGACTTGTGATCTGTTTCTAAATTTGGCCTTTGCATTTTCCACATGCAGGAAGTGACAAAAACAGTGGCAGTAATCCTTGGTGAGTTTGGACACGCATATAAAGGGCCGAAAGCTTTTGTCTGCTATAGGTCCAAGGTAAGGTGGGTACTGTAAACATGACTCATGATGAGTTTAAGACAACAAGCATGGGAAACACAGCAGAAGGTCACGCTTCTTTCCTCACAGTTTTGGAAACCGAAGACTTTCCCAACAGATTTGAATGTGTGCTGTAGGGGACAAATATAAACACTTTTATACTGATTATACTGATATAAATACTTTTATACCAATTTTCTGCTTCCTAAAATGCACCATTTCTGGATGATGTTAAAAGAGCCTGAATAGAAAAAAAAAAGCTAACCTAAAGCGTTGAGCACATTAGTCTGTGGCAAGCCAAATTCCAACTGATGAAAATAAAAGATGCTGTGAACATATGATAAAACTCCTACAGTCGATTTGGTCCTGCCCCAACAATGACAAATTTACTCCTGGGTGAGTCAAGCTAAATGTACCAGACATTTAAGAACCCGCCTGTCAATGCAGAACCCACCTGTTTCTCAGACTTTCACATGCTCATTTTGTGTTTGAACTAGCACAGTCATGCATGAGCTGATTTGTTTTGAAGATTTGCCTCCCTGTGGATGCTATCATAGAATCATAGAAACTTTT